TTGGAGCGAGGCGAGCGCGTTCGGGTCCTGCATCATCGCCGTCGCGAGCTGCATCATCGCCGGGCTCTGCATCATTTGCATCATGGACGCTGGGTCCATGCCGCCCATGCCGCCCATGCCGCCCATGCCGCCCATTCCGCCGCCGGGCGCGCCAAACATGCCGCCGCCGCCGCCGCCACCGCCGCCCATGCCGCCGCCGCCCGCGGCGCCGCCGAACGCGGGCGGGGCGCCAAATATGCCGCCGCCGAAGGGCATCTGTCCGGCCGCCACGGCCGGCGCAGCGGGCGCGGTCGGCGTCGCCGCGGGCGGAGCGCTGGCGGGCGTGGAGGCGGGCGCGGCGCCGCGAACCATGTGGATCATGTGTCCCTCCTCCACGTGGTAGGACTCAAGGCTCTGGCTGTCCTGCAGCACCTTGCCCGAATAGATCAGCCGCTGCTGCGCCGCCGGCACGGACGACGCCTCGGCAATCTTCTCCTTGAGCGCGACCACGGTGTCGGCCGGCGCCGCGTCGATGCTGAGCGTCTGCCCGTTCGAGCTCACTTTGATCTTGACAAGCATTCAAGGTGTGCGGCGCAGCCGATCTCTCTCTCGATGTCTGGGGCGCTGTGGACTGGAAGGACGAATAAGCGGCTTTTCTTTTCCCCCTCGAACCTGGGCCTGGCAACCGTGGCGCGGGGCTCGTCTTCGGAAAGTCGGGTATGCATACACTCACCCAATGAATTGACATCTCCCATGAGTGCGAGTTAGGGCTAGCAGTAGGCAGCTAGCCTGTGAGGAGAGCGTCTCACATGACCCCACACCTGAGTGAGGGAGGGTGTAGAGGATGTAGAGTGTAGAGCGCTGAGAGCTGTAGATAGAGCTCTACATCCGGCGCGGGACGATGTGAGTCGCCTGTATAAGAGCGATGACCGATGTAGAGCGCGATTTTGCTGTAGAGTTTGTTGTACTCGAGTAGAGGCTCTACAGCCAAACCGCCGGGAAGGCAGTGACTCAAAGATGTCGAGCCGCGCTAATGGGGTGTCTCCGAGCTTACTGGAGCTCTGATGGACGGCCCTGACTATCCCTGACACACAGAGAGTCACTCTGACGGCACACCAACAGCAACACCCTAGATAACTGCGTCATGACCAGCCTGCCATGCGTCGCCGGTGCCGCATTCGTCGCTGTGCTTCTTTAGCAGGCGGTGGACTGTCGGCTGCGAGGACGGTCGCATTTGCGCGAGGCGAGGCGAGCATTCAGACGCGTTGCATGCGCCATGACTCGCGCCAGCGCGTGCGGGAGCTCCTGGCTGAGCGTTGAGTCCAGGCGAGTTGCGCTGGCCACTATCGCTACGCCGAGCCGAGCTGACGCGCCGAGGCGCTGGCCAGTCGCAGCCGTGAGGCATGCCACAGCAGCAGAGAGGCACCTGCCACCCATTGGGCGGGCAGACAGAAGGCCAGGGCAGCACTGGCAAGTGCAACGCGCCTCATGTCGGAGAGCGACCGTGCCTCGTTCGCCGCTTATGATGTAGAGTTTGTTGTAGAGATT